GGAGTGGGATTGACTAGTTATACCACAGGGACTGCCTTACGCACCAGCATCGTTCAATCGTTTGGTAACACAGCTAACCCGACTACATCGTATCTATGCACAAACATAATTTTGTCAATAGTTGTGCAGAACACGGAAAGAGAATGCACATCGATTATATCAAATTCTACCAAACCGTGCCTAGGTATATGTTTTTAATGAGCTGCTCGCCATAAAGACACTTATTTTTTTGACACTGATGAGGTAATATTTCTAGGAGACTTAAACGCTCGAGTTGCAGGCAGGCCGTTCAAATATCAAATCTGATTTGGATTGGCCAGTGCCGCTGTTAAAAACGAATTTAAGCAGTTGCTTGGTCTGGCCTAAAACTTGCACAAGCACAGTACAAAGTATGCTGACATGATACGAATCCTCACCAATCAATGGAAAGGATGTCAAATGGTGTTGGGGAGACGCTATGGAAGGAAGCCTCATGCGTGCCCCGGTTTAGCTCTTTACGCTCAGAATGAAGCCATCGGCATTTTCTCTTTAAGCACATGTTGATGATAACAACGCGTGACAGCATTTGAAATTTACCGGTAGAGAAGAACTCTACTGGTCACGACAAGAAGCTACTTACAAAGACGTATGCTCTTTTCGGCTTCAACGTACATCTGATTATCTCTAAGCCGTATCTGATCTGAACAGATCGTGTCGATTAGGCGCAACGACGCGATCACCACAAATTTCACAGAAAACGAGTAGACAGTACCTTTGTATGCCAAGTATACGGTTTGAGGCGGATCGGCTTATCATGGTAGTGGGTACGTTGCATCACCCCTAAATTGACGCATGTCATGCTGGTAACGTCGCCAATAATTAAAGTTATACTTTCAGCGTGTGGGTCAAATGAACCACGCGTCAGCTTTGGAAAGTATAAATGTGGGAATTAAGATGCCGCTATATTGAGGCGCGTGATGGTAGGCTTGCTCCTCCATTCCTTCCTCAAGCTTGGTGGCTTACAGCATCCCCACTTGTATCAAAACGTGCGCTAGTACCTCAGAATGAGAATCTTAAGTGTAGCATGTTTTTATTAAGCACATATCATCCTTTTGAGAGGCAACCTCGGATTAGAAAGACATACTGTTCAGTTTGCGCTATATATTGGTGGCTAAACATATATAAGTGGATAAATACATAAGAGAGCACGCTTTAACTGGAAAACGTGTGGAATCTACACCATATGCATCAGCGCATTTACCGAGCATGCAGTGTATCTTCTTAGCTAATTTTTTTTGGTCAATCAAAAGTAGCATTTGGTAATACTAACATGGTGACTATCGTTCGCCCCTTGAGCAAGAGGATTCACCTACCTGCTACTAGCAATTATGTGACCGACAAAAATATAGCCACACTTTTCTGGACAGAATTTCTCGACAACGCTTTTTGCCGGTAGCAAATGTGTCGAGTAAATATCCGCACCTTACAGCGAAATTTGGAGAAAATTGTTCAGGGTGCCTGGAACCAGACTGAACATGTCACCTGCTGACTATGAACAGACAAACGACTCAATGGAATACGATACACACGTAATGTAAAATATCATTCATATCACTTGCACGGATACAGTGCGGTAGTGGAGCGAGGTGTCTTTACCAATTGAGGTTACATCAAAAAGCGCAGTGTATACCTCCACGGGCTTTACCCACTATTTTTTTTGCCTAATTTACCCCGGATTTATTTTAGCACTACCACGAACTGGCTTTCGTCCTTGTGAGGGTTTCGGTGATTGAAATCGACTGACAACAATTCGGCTACACTTTCTAGCAAAATCGCGGACTTCAACTCAATAAGATCATGCTTCATGTGCCCGATATACAACGCTACGGCTGAGGTACAGATGCTCAAAAGCAACCGATACAGACAAAGCACATATGAATATATAGGTGATAATGCTATAACTGATTGTAGTAAGCCAATCTGCACATGCGGTTTCGGTAACCAGTAATACCAAGCTGAAACCTATCTACGCTGGACCGTTCAAGGTCTTTGCGAGGAAGAGATCGAATTGTATTTTAAAATTTTTGAAGTGAATGCGAGCAGATGCTTTTTTTGAATAAATTAAGCTGTTTAACAAAATTCCACTAACGAGCTAGTCAGATTTGAGGTGCGCTGCTGTAGATGGACCTTCCTTGTTTCTAAGGGTTTCATTGCTCTGGAGCAGCTAGTGATTCTGGACTGCTGAAAACACGTCAAAACACACAGTATGGTGAAAAACATGAAGAGGGCATCCGGAATATAATCCATTTCAATTTTGAGACCCTCGGAAAGAGGCAATGCAAAACCACAACAAAAGAGCATACGAGTGCCCACCGTCGGAGAGTCGTCCTCCACCGTCAATGCTCGATAAGTAAGGTATTGCCAACGTAAATTTATCAGCCGGTAGGTATACCAGTGCTGCAACCACCAGTGACTGTTGTTGAGGCAGTAATTTTCTCGTTTGGAAACTAATTTAGATGAGGTAAAAAAATTCTGGTGCAGCACCTTTTACCTTAATTATGCTAAAAGAAAAGACTTGATCACCAGAGCAGGCATGGCTTCCACTTGTAAGTAGGAACCAATCGTGGCTTGAAATTGATACTTAACAGCAGCAGCGATAGCTGTCTCATAGCGATGAGCGAGGTTGTTGGCAGCAAAAACTGGGGGTGATGAAGTCCCACTTTGATGGTTGCTTTGTTCTGCGTACTTTAAAAAGCTGGACGCTCTATTGGACGTGTACTTTTCTAAGGCTGGCGTTCAAAGTTGTGAGATAGGTGAGACAACGCGCATTCCCTTGACCAATGCGCAAGGCAAGTGAGATACCCAACGGCATTCCCGCCAGCTTCCAAATCCAAGTAATTTTCTCATCGTAGGTTCTGAATTTACCAGCTGCTTCTGCTAAAGCTCCCGATGTTAAAGCGATCCTGTGGTGCAATGGTATGCTGTTCACTTCAGAACCGGGAGGTCCAGGATTGATATCCCGGGCCGGGTAGAGAGGGGTTAAAGTGAAATAAAAAAAAACTACAGCATGTGCTTGACATGGCTTACACGACTCCTAAAAAGGGTGTCGTTCTTCAATATATATAAGCTCCGGATGTTATGATCTGTAAAGTTAAAAAGCACTCGTGGAGCGACTATTTGTTTTCGGTGTGCGTGGAAGGCCTGCGCTCACATAAGATATGAAATCCACTGTTATGTGGCGAAAACCTTCTGACAATTTTAACTGATTGCAGCGGGGCCGCCGTAGCTCTTTGTTTAGAGGAAGCCAAGCTGAGGTCACCGCCCTTACGTTCCATTCAAGGACGAGTACAAGTGTCACAAAATCACAATCTGCTACCTCTAAGAGTACCCAAAACCTTATCCAAGGTCAAGACGCTCTTCCGATCAAATTTAAAAATATATTTAATTGTTTTTGTTTACGACAGAGCCGCCTATATCTGAAACCTTAGGTTATCCTAATTAGATTGTAAAACCTAATTATTATGCATAACTACTGGCAGTCCTGCCACGTATTGGCTTCTTGTTGTGGTGTAGCCACACCATTGTGTGATTACATCAAATGCTGTAATCGACACCATTGTACGTTCACACCATCCTGTGTGACCCACCCTTTATTACAAGGTTACGTGTAACCCCGTTACACTGACTGTCACGATGTGAAGAAGTTAACAGCACTTGATGTGTCTTTGAGCTTGCAGACGGAAAAGCTGGGCCCTGATCTTAATCTAGCTCGTCACTCTCGAGCAAGACATCGTCGTGAGACCGCGGCGGGATGTCACAACAATTTCCGCCGTAGTAATAGGACGCGAAATCTTATATGTGCACTTGGGAAGTGGAGCGCAGTGTGCGCCTCCTCCTCGGCTTACGGCTTCCGTGTGTATTGTGAGGTCAGGGCTAAGGTGTTGAGTCAAGACTTGGGGTGCCGCTCCAGCCACATTCTCATCGAAAAGCAAATTGATCTCATCACCAAATATTGCATTTTAGCGTATACCTTAAAGGTCTCTATAATCGCACAAATGCAATATTGTACAATTCTTTGAAATTCATACTTTGCGTTTGTGATTGATAATATCCAGCTATACCAAAGTATTGTTACTTATAAAGATGATAGGACTCCGTAATGGAGAGGTCCGTGGTATGCGTAGCTGTTAGCTCTCATCGAGCAATATTTTTATATATTCGATACTGTAGAACGTATATATTTAGGATAACTATTGGTAGCGTTAGTCACAAATATATGTAATTCTCGAAACAAAGAACACCTAAGGTAACTTGGTACTTTAGAGGATGTCACTTCCGCCTTTGGGTAAAGCGCACGAGCCTCACCTCCATGGCTTGTTTGCGCAGAATTTATGAGTTATAATATCCTCTGTGCAAGGTGCACAGCAACCATCGCGAGAATTAAGTACATGTTGAACAAAGCATTAATCAAGAACTGCAAAGGATGTATATTAGAAATGAGGTTAGGTGATGCTGTATAACGAACATTGATGTAAAAGATGATGCCCCTAAACAAATGGTAAGCATCAAGCTAGACAGCTTATCTCCCGATTTTGTTGATCAATAGTCCTTACGCCCCTTGCAGTTTTCCAACGATTTATGTACAACCTTTCACGTTTGAAATTGTATTCTGTCTATTCACTTTGCTGTTTAGTTGTGGCAGCGGGAAAAGATTAGCCACAGGTTATCATTTCCTACGTCGCTATCACCCATTCAACTGTAACTATAATCACGTAATTTTCAATAACTGACAAAGCATTGCAAGCACTATCATAATCAGGGGCATTCATAAAAAAGCAAAGCTTCTTGATGAGCCACACATGTTACGCAGACTATCTTTTCCAATCGAATGATCGTAAACATAACAAACGCACATCGTACTGGCTTTGACATGCTCTCTAACAATGAGCGATAAGCATAATCTTGCTTCTACAATCTCAGTGTTGATTTTTCACTGAGACGCAAACACATTTAATGAACAAATGATCACGCTTAAAATGGTCGTCCTTGCGTCTTCTTTTGCTCTCTCTGTTGGATTGCCACAAGAGACTTTTTTTAAGGATATGCCATCCGTAAAGTTGCACGTCAAATTCAAACGCGAAAGTATGAAGTTTCACGGTCAATCCGAGTTCGACATCTACGCTACTCCTCAAGTATCTGTCAACGGCTCTAGTGTGCTCTACGATTGCTACGCGACGTTAAGCGACAACCGCTCGAATTACACGTACACTATAAAGGATGGGGCTTACCTGACGACGACAGACGCCTTCAGATCGAAAACAACTCAATGTCTTCCACCCAGCTTGATGCTATTCAATGAGATTCTTCCTGCTCTCAATAATGTCACACCTATTCCCAGTGCTTCTATCGGTGACAAGGCGGTTGAGTGTACAAGTGGTAATCTCCTCAAAACAACATTTGCAGAAACAAACTACGCGATCTGTGCGTCTGGCAAGGCTGGTTTCACAGCCTACAGCAGTGATATGGACATAATTGTTGAGTATCTTAAAAGTCCCATCAGTATTGCCAAACCAGAGTTATCGGCAACTTTCGCGCCGTGCGAAATCGTTCGAATAGAGACGTCGTTTACACCAGCAGCACTTGCTCTCGCTACAGGCGGCAGTATCCCATCCTTTAGCCATCGACAGCTACGAGAAGAATCTCATATGATCATGGAGTCATCGTCTTGTAACGAATGTTCGACAATGCCTCGTCCGTGCATCTTTTTTCATGGGTCAGGGAATGAGCATGGAATGGATGAACTGCAAGACACAGCTGAACTACTCAAGGATAAACTTGGAGACATACATGGCCACGCTCCTTGCTGCTCCTCGATCAAATACGCTGTTATTGAGACTATGGACGCTGGATGGAGAAATGAAGATTTGCAGCAAAAGTTTTGTAATTTCTCACTATCTATGAGTCCCACCAGTGATGTTGCTGCTGCCATCATCGAAAACACTATTGTGGTCACGCATTCGATGGGAGGACTTGTAATGGCAGGTGCTATTGCTAACAACACGTGCACTTTAAGTAACACATCGTCGTGGGTAGCGTTAAGTCCTCCAATGACGGGCAGTATGGCATCTGACTACCTCATTGACATCTGTGGTCTTGAAGACAGTAAAGTGAGGCTGGGGTTTTTAGAGAAGTTTGAACAGTGTCCAGCGGCTGAGTCTCGCAAGTCCACAAGCTATCAAGGCGAGAAGTACAGTGATCCAATTATGGATGAAGCGTACATTGCTGCCCAAAAAGCGTACACTGATAATGTTGAAGCTGCAATGTGTAGCGACAGCTATGTTGGAATCTTTTCAAAATTTCAAGCTCCATCAATATTTGCTGGAACAATCGTGAAGCACAAGTCAGAAGAGAACGATGGCTTGGTCGAATTTCAAAGCTGCGTTGGAGGACTAGATACCGGCTTGTTTGGCAACCACTATAGCAATTCTTTTTACAGATCGCGTTTGAACCATGCAGACACAGCATTTTTGACGGGTGACGGCATCTTTCGAAACTCTCAGAAACCAAACAAGTGGTTTGAATGCCTCAAGTACAATAATCCTCGAAGATTTAGATTGTAAATATCGATAATTAAAATTGCAGTTTATAATCGTATCCAAAAAGTCGTTATATCTTAAGTAAAATAAATCAAGTAGCTCATTTTCAAAAAATTACATACGTCGACAGAGTCAACTTTTTAGAAATTGCGAGGAAGCTTCTTTGAGCTCGCACGGCCATTTCGTACAGCTAGCTCTTGAAGAGAAAATTGCTTTATCCGAAACATTCAAAAAGTGCGTATTTTAAATTTAATTAGATAACCCTGCATACTGAATTCGATATCTGTATTTATATTAAAAGGGTATGTATGCGCAAATTTCGCAAAGGGGTCAGTCAGATAGCACATCCTACTAGTGATCATCCTTATGGAATCAAAGAATGTTTAGGCTCAAATGCTTGATGAGCAGAGGTGTATTAGTAGTGCATACTTACCATTATGAAGGGATTCGTTCGAGCCGTGTGGCGGGGAATTGTGCTAGCTTCCTTTGCCGAGTTTGTGAGTGCGTCACGCCAGCTGGAGACTCTTTTGTCGAACCTGCCGTCCCTAAAGCTCCATTTCACGCTTCATCGAAAAGGGTTTGAGATATCTGATGATGCTGTTTTCATTGGCCACGCGAATCCTGTTGTGTCAGATGATGGTCTCACTGTTCTTTATGATGGCTACGCGACATCTGTCAGAGGACAATTTCAGACAACGTACTCTTTGGTGAATGGCTCTGCTTATGTGATCACGAACGACAATTTGAATGTCACTACTCGCTGTCTTTCTCCATCCGACCTTCCTTTATACACCATTCTACCTGCAATAAATGCTATGAAATCCATTTCAGCTACGAGGCTACCATCTGGTTGTAAGAGTACGTTTGAAACCTCGTTCGATGGAGTCCAGTACGAAATCTGTCAGGAAAGTGAAAAATTCACTGCAACCTCACGCGATGTGACTATCGAAGTGAGCTATGTCCAAGATCGTGATCATATTCCAGTTCTTGAGACTGGATTAATTTGCGATTCGATAGCTAAGGCCACGGCACTGACGCCAACAGCACTCGCGCTGCTCCAAGGGAACCCACCTCCAGTCCGCCGTCGTCGAATGCTTGAGGAAGAATCTCCCGTGGCGAAATTTCCAAAGCGATGTACTTGCCACTCGATTCCTCGCCCTTGTATATTTTTTCACGGCCTCGGTAACGAAATGGACGAACCAGGCGTCCAAAATTCGTCTCGCCACTTTGGCTCGGATGTGATTAAGAGACACGCGCCATGTTGTACCACCATCAAGTATGCGTCACTAAATACTGTCGACTATGGTTGGACAAGCTTGAATCTTCAAAGCAAAGCGTGTGACCGCGCTTTGTCCATGTCGAAGACATCTAGCAAACGAAGGCGTCAAATTCAAGACACGATTATTGTCACCCACTCTATGGGTGGACTCATGATTGCTGGTGCACTCGCCAATGGAGTGTGTCATCTTGATTCGAGCTCGACTTGGATCAGTCTCAGTCCTCCAATGAAAGGCAGTATGTCATCCGATTACCTCATAGACTTCTGCCACGGTAAAGTTCATAATTTCATGTCCAGAATATTGCTCAAAGGCAAGTGTCCGATACCCGAGTCTACTATTTCTGTCGCGTATCAATACGGAGAACACAGCAACTATATGCTTGATGCGGCGTATTCTGCAGCTCAACAAGTTTACCAGCAACACGTCTATGCGGCCATGTGTAGCTCATCAAGTGTCGGAAATATTTCCAAGTATCAAGCCAAGTACATCATGGGCGGTCGAATTTTTCCACACAAGTCTAGCAAAAACGATGGTCTTGTCGAGTTCGACAGTTGTGCTGGCGGAATTTCACCGCAAAGATTTGGCAAAACGCCCGATAGTCGGTTCTACAAATGTGAATTGAATCACGCAGACACGGCGTTTAAAACAGGAAATGGGATATTCAAGTCGACGGTATTGCCATTGACGTGGTTTGAATGCCTCTTGTAAAGTGGATAAAAATCTGCAGAAAATTGAGATAAAATGTTAATAGAAGACAGCACAATGGTCTTCATATAATAATCGCCCTTCTCGTCTTAAGAAATTGTGTTGAGATAATCAAGATACTTTGAATACAATTTCTACGGTATTTGTCTACCGCTCGAGAACTCATTATAAGTAGTTATGCACAACGACATCGAGTTTTGTGGTTTAATCAATTTTTTTTCATAAGCTTTCGCAATCGTTCTTGCGTCAATAAGGAGATATCGGTGTTATTCAGCTCTACTCTGTTATACTTATCCTTGTTGCTGTTTCTTGTCAAGACGTATTGCCAATGAGAGCATAATTATCAAGCGACTGATGGGTGACAACTTCAAAGTTAAAGTTGGAGTCAGCACGCTTGGAACTTGAAAACCATTCAAAAGGATTACTTCTGCGTTGTGATGCATCCAAAAATTCTCGGCTTAGCTTTATAAATTAAACTGCAGACGCACCTATAAACATGGATAGGGACGCTGATCTACGCTTTTGAGCAGAAGTAGCTAACTTTCGCGAACGTCTCGATCTCAATAACTAAAAAAGCTAATAAGAAAACGTCGGAACAGGTTTTCTTAATTAGAAGCTTAGAAGAAGTCAGAGGTCATACAACCCGTCACAGGCACACTCGCCGCGACCATGTCATCGACCGTCCGTGGAATAGGAATCGTCCAGGTTATCGGCATTATCGTCGCTAAAGGTAACATATATGGTATTGGGTATGTCTTAATGCTTGTTTGTTCACATTACCCATTGTCGATCCAAATAATGGGTTGGAGAGTCGGAAAAGTTTTGCACAACTCAAATTTTCTACCATATTTATTCGCTTGTCATTCTCGCAAGCTACATCGCCCTAACGCTAAAAACTGTCAGCTTAGCGCATGGTCAAGAACCCGTTGAGATAGACCATGCAAACTCGCCGTAATTTACGATTTGACAACGCTTAAACATATAGTAACTTAAAGGAATTTGTCGCAAGTGCAGTCTTCGGAGGATATATGAGTTCTGGCAGCTTCGTCATGACAAATGCTTCACGTTCCCCGGTACGAGACGCATGCTATGCTGTAGTACTAATGCTTAAAGGCTGACATGAAGGTAATAACCAAGGATCAAGGTATCATAACATGTGCCAGGAAAACATATGTATTTGATGATAAGAGCAGAAGAGTTGGCAGCTCTGCATTCAGATCTTCATCCCAGCGTCTTTTGTATCTCGCGAAAATGATCAGATCTGGCTTGATTTCACAAACTGTCAATCCTGAATTCAATCAGACCAGTAAAACACGATAATTGTTTTGGTTTTCTGTATGGTAGACTAAAATTGTCATATACCATGTGTGCTGTTAAATCTCCAATGGATGTATTGGTGTTATGGGTCAAACAAAAGCTTTCCAGCCTAAAAAAATGGTGGGTACATCATTCCAGAAAAAACTCAGTAGTGATGACATATCGATGGAAAGCAAATGTTGTCAGATCGAGTAAATCTCGCTTTTACGAGCGTAAATAAAGTCCTGTGATCAACGTCGTTGAACGTAAAATGACATGAGCATGTATTGTCTGAAAGCAAGTAACCTATCTTCGAAGGGCAAGAAACCAATTAAAATGATCAAAATCACATTGAATACCGTGTTTCCTGGCAATTAAATACAAAGAAGTCTTTGTTTACGCAGATACTTAATCAAATGATCATTGTTATAACTGTCCCGTAATACGAGCTACCTATGCACCGCTCATATTGACATAAATATCAAAATAATCATGACGGCAATCATGAGTTCAGCATTGCAACAGACCCACACCGGATGCTTGCAGCCAAGCTCAGAAATACATCATTGGTGCCAGCTGCTAGGACCATGGGACCTGCACACGCTTAACTGACATTCCATTGCCGCACGATGGTTGTAGATATGATGCCGGTAAACTTTGCTCTTACTAAAACAAGCATTCATAACCGAATATACTGGTTAATGCCGCTAATTCACGGGTGAACGTAACTCTAATTTTCTTTACTTTCTGCGGTGCTCACAAGTTTATATAAAATAGAAGCCGGTCAGTAGCCTCCAACACCCGATCAGTTTCGACAAAGGTTCAACAATTCGAAATGCTTGACAGCATCGACATCATCAAGGCTTTACGGTTCAATCATACTCTTCTTTTTTCAAAAATACTGCTATCACGTCATAACTCTCGCACCAACAACGAACAATTGCAATTGATGGTGGTCGCGGTTCTTCGCGAGCAGTATGCTCTACTTTCTGCGACTGTTACTTTATTTCCACAAATGCCTTGAGATATCAAAATACCACCGGCCGGTAGATCCAAAGTCAGGGCATCATAGTCATCGCACAATAGAACCACATTATCCTCAATTTTCTTTATACTAAGGGCCTTTTAAAAAGTCCGAGTGAATACTATGACATGGACGTCTCGCACGAGTAAAATTCAATCAAACAGATCTATCAGTCCACAAGCGCTTTTGGTTGTGCAAAAATACATATCAAGTTCAAGGTCGCAAGAAAACGCTTTCATCTTTCTTTCTTCGAAAGCATTTAAGAAGGGAGTGGTCACCGAAAACATGCATGATGTGACATGTGCCGAGATCATGTTATCTTCGAAATGTCAAAAGGAACTGCGGTATTGTAGCGTGATCCGAATAAGGATGTTTGTGAGAACTTGCATGTAGCTGGCAGCTCGGCTAGTAAAAACTTTGTCATAAACATCGTGAGGCTCGTCCTTAAAAGCATTGCATCATCATCTGTGTCAGGAGGTACATCTCGGGTGCGATGAATGAAAATAAGTCTGGTGATCATTGTCTTTGCATAGGTGGCGGACAATAACAGTCTAGCTAAAGATTCTTAAGTATGTATTTTGGTCTCAAGTTTGAAGGCGCGTTTGATCAATCTAATCCACCGAAAATATGTTGCAGCTATATAGATGAATGTTGTGTTCATCGCGAATCTGCAACACCATACAGACCGTATTAATCGGCACACGAAGTTAAAAGTAGCCCGCACCCAAAATATAGATTTTGATGATAGGAGCCGCCGTGGGAGACAAATGATTCTGGTTGATGGACAACGCTCCCAACTATCACAATGTAACTGGGTCTTTGAATATCGAAGTGCATGCACACACTTCTGTCAGTACATCCACATTGAGAATCTGTGTTTGCAGGATACAATACGGCACGTGGCTTTTCAGCAAATCGTTAATCCTTTCTGCGACTTCATACTAGAAAATGCACGTGAAAACAAGGTTCACATAAATGCGAAGTTGGAGCGTTAGCGGAGCGATAGTCGTTCGATAGGAATCAACATTTCACAAGGATTCCTAATCAATTTAATCGCACAGTGTATTCAATGTAGCCCTACATTTGGTGCCGTGAGCCAAAGCAAAATTCTGATCTAAATTCTCAATGTGCGGTCGAGAGCGCGCCTCAAACTGTACCATCAGTTTTTCAGCGGGGCTGCCGCAGCTCATTCGCTTAGATAAACAAGTTTTATTACACTTTCAGGGGGTGCTTTCCTATTTACTGCTACCTATACTATGAACTTATATGTATTTGCAGTTTTTCTTTGGGGCCGAAATATCGGTCATTTAGTATACTGAAACCAAGTCGAAATGTAAACATGGTATAACCAGCTTTGACGCGTTGTCCGGTGTATGCTTGGGTACTTAGCGGTTGATAATTGGTTTGGGCCCGTGAGGCGGTTCTGCTGCGCGCCCATCCACGGCCGGTCATTTACCCTCGTGTGAAATATGGCTTCCGCCCAGTGGATCCCGCTGTAACGGGGTTACATA